AGTTTCAAACCTTGCAGGTGAACTCCCCTTGGGATTGAAGGTGCTAGGCTCCGCTCTACGACGAAAGTCAAAGCAAGAGTGGAAAAGTATACTACCAAGGTTAAGGACCAGCCTTGATGGAGAAATAGAGAGCATTATAAAGTTTAGTTATGATGCCTTATGTGATGAAGATAAATATTTATTTCTTTATCTAGCCTGCTTTTTCCTTAGTGAATCAACTTATAAAGTGGGAAAGGTTCTTGCAAATAAGTTCTCGGATGTGAGGCAAGGTCTTTACGTTTTAGCTGAAAGATCTCTCATATCTATTGAATACGGAATGATAGGGATGCATACTCTAATACATCAGTTTGGAAGAGAAACTTCACGTAAGCAATTCATTCAGCATGGCCTTAGGAAACATTACCTTTTGGCTGGTGCAAGAGATATATGTGAAGAGCTTAGCGACGATACAACAGTAAGTTATGCTGTTGCAATATTGCTCTTTACAAATTGAGTATATTTTATAACTAACCATATCGATTTGTATTTCTTTGTTTTAGGATAATAGACGTTTTATAGGCATAAATTTAGATTTATCTAATACCGAGGAAGAATTGAATATAAGGGAAAAAGCAGTTGAAAGAATGTTCGATCTCCAATTTGTAAGAATCAATGGTCTGGACCTTGATCAACCTGAGAGACTGCATTCATTACTTCATTATTCTCAAATGATTAGATTACTGGATTGGAGTTATTTCCAGAATATATGTTTGCCTTCTAGTTTTAATCCGGAGTTTCTCGTCGAGCTGGCTCTACATCACAACAAGCTTCAGAAGCTATGGGAAGGAACTAGAGTAAGTAATTTTGACGAAAAAAGAAATTTCAATATTTTTCTAATATATATTTTATTTACTATTTTTTCAGTGTGTGTGTTTAAAGACCAATCATATAAACATTTTCTTTCTTATTTGTCAATGCAGCCACTTAGAAATCTCAGGTGGATGTATTTGAGTTATTCTACAGATCTGAAAGAGCTGCCTGATATTTCTACTGCAACTAATCTGGAAATACTATATCTTGGAAAATGTTCAAGTTTAGTAGAGCTCCCCTCATGTATTGGAGAACTTACTAGTCTCCGGATTTTAGATCTTAATGGATGCTCAAGTCTGGTGAAAATTCCTGCTTCTATTGAGAACACGACCAATCTTCGGAGGTTAGTCCTCTCTGGTTGCGATAATGTTGTGGAGCTTCCCTCTATTGGGAATGAAACTAAACTTGAGCAACTGATTCTTAATAACTGCTCAAGGCTTGTGAAGCTCCCGTCCTCTATCAATGCCACTAATCTCCAAGAAATGTCTCTAAGCAATTGTTCACTTGTTGTGGAGCTCCCCACTATCGAGAATGCGAATAATCTCAATATATTAGATCTCAGTAATTGCTCAAGTCTACTAGAGCTCCCTCCTTCTATTGGAACTGCCAAAAATCTTGAGAAATTGGATATTAGCGGATGCTTAAGTATTTTGGAACTCCCCTCCTCAATAGGCAACCTTCAGCGATTGTCTACGTTGACAATGTGCGGATGCTCAAAGCTAGAGGCTCTTCCGACCAACATCAACTTGAAATCTCTTGACAGACTTGATCTCTCAGATTGCTCGGAGTTGAAAAGTTTCCCTGAGATCTCGAGAAACATTGAGTATCTCAACATAATAGGAACTGCAGTAAAAGAAGTTCCTATGTCAATCATGTCATTGTCTCGTCTTTCTGATTTCCGTATGTCATACTTTGAAAGCCTCAAAGATTTCCCGCGTGCTCTTGACATCATCACGGAGCTGCAGTTGAACAAAGATATACAAGAAGTTGCTCCATGGGTCAAGGAAATGTCTCGTTTACGTGTTCTTAAACTCCACAACTGCAATCATCTGGTATCACTCCCCCAATTTTCAGATTCCTTATCTTGCATTGATGCAGACAATTGTAAGTCTCTTGAGAGACTGGATTGTTCCTTTAACAATCCAAAGATCCGTCTGAAGTTCACTAATTGCTTCAAACTGAAGCAAGAAGCCAAAGATCTTATCATGCACACATCAACTCGTGGATATGCGATCTTACCTGGTGCACAAGTGCCTGCCTGCTTCAATCACCGAGCTACTGCTGGGCGTTCATTGAAATTTAAGTTGAATGAATCAACTCTTCCTACATTCTTGAGATTTAAGGCTTGTATCATGCTGGATATGCATAAAGACGAAGCTGATGATGATGATGATAATGATGATGCTAGTGATGATGATGAAGATGATAGTTCGATGGGAGTAACTATGGATAACACCGATGAACAGAAGGATCACAAAGTTTGGTGTATACCATGCAGTCGTAACATGAAACGATTTTTAACAGAGCATATCTACACATTCATAGTTGAAGCAGAGGATGTGACTTCCACGGAGCTTATCTTTGAGTTCAAATTAGACAGTGGCAAATGGAAGATTGGAGAATGGGGGCTACTACAAATCTTGGACTTGGTTGAGGAAACTTCATGTTCATGAAGATTAGATGACAGCTTTAAAGTTGGTATATCGATATGCCATTTTTGTATGATTATTATTGTGAAATGTTCATACTTGTGTATATGTTAAACCAAAACCAGTTATGATTGTTTCTATCTTTTGTCTTATGTATATGATGAAACTTTTTCTTTTTTTTTTTAATTAAGCTTGCTAATTTTTTTTGTTCGTTACTGTTATAGTTATGATTAGCTTCTTTTTTTGGCTTAAGTTATATATATTAGTTGGGTCATACCAAAATAAAAATTAATTATGGAATTACTTGACAAAAAAAAGAATATTATGGAATTACGAATAATATTTTCTCAGTAGTGTTAACTAAAACTTCTGATTTTCATAGTTGAAAATCAAAATTATTATAAAAAAAAAATCAAAAAGAAAATAAATAAAATAAGTGGTCAGAATTGCTTCTGAATACCAATAATTTAAGGAGATAGGTTAATAAAAGAGGTTTACAAAAAAAAAAAAAAAAAAGGTTAATAAAAGCATAGAGAATGTAAAATAAAATTTGGAGATCATAATTATATATATATTTTAAAACCGATCAAGAATTTTGAGGATTTTTTTGGATAAGAAATTGCATCAGAGTCATGGAAGTTTATGATTTCCAACACTGCTCAAGAACTTTGAGCTTCTTTTTATCAATTGTGATTAACTCATCATTTGCAATAGATTGAATATATAAAACAAAAATCGAGTAACACACAAGAGACGATTAGAAAAACCATTAGAAAAAGAACAGAAAAAAAAAAACAACACAAAGGAATAAAAAGAAACAGAGAAAATGATGATAAGCACTGAGAGAGAGAGAGAGTAAAGAATAGTTTAGTTGGTGCAGAGGTATTTATCGGAGGCTGCGAGAGAGGTAGGGTTTTCACATATCTGTTTTTTCTTTTTATAAAGGGTGGTCAAAATATTAACCCTAGGTTAACTTTTTTTAACCATGGTTAAGTTAACTATATTATTTTAGATTTTAAATATATGACATTTTTTCCTTCTATGGAGGAGTAATATGAACGTGGACCAATAAAAATTGCCCTATGGGGATTATATTCCCAATAGAAACAACTATTTTGATTTTTTTTTGGAAAAAAGATGGCCGGCTACACCAACTATAGAGGAATGCATGGTCACACATGCCAAGTATTCTATTGTATACTCAGCTACACGAACTAGATGTATTGCATGACCACATGCATCAACTATACAACGTCATGTAGTTAACACCATAGACATAAAATTTTGGTATACCGGTCAACTGACTCTGGCGTTGACCGGTGTTGACTCCGGCGTTGACCGTTTTTGACCAAAAAAAGAATTCCAAATTTTTTTATAATTTTATTTTTATTGTTAAAAAAACTAAAGACAGTAATTATTTTATAATAAATTGTTATGGTTTTGTATACTTTAAAAAAATATAATCTTAGGAAAAAAATTGTAATAATAATTTTTGTATTTAAGTAAATCACATAATAAGTTAATGGTTTTGATTGACAATGTAAAAATAAACAATTCCTTACTAATTCATAAGATTTTCCACTTTTAATTTAGATTCTAATATCTTGAGTTATTTTACTATTAGTTTAGCTCTAAATTTTAAAAATAACTAATTATAATAAAAATGAATACATTAAAGATTTAAACAAAACTAGTGTCTAGATATTGAATATATAAAAACAAAATCAATATTTTTTTAATTAATTTTTTTATGGTTTTGTATAATGAAAAAGATATAATCTTAGGAAGAAAATTGCTATGATGATTTTG